TCTACTTTGATAAAGTCTACTCTCCACCGCTGTGTAATCAATTATTGTAAATGTAAATGTAAACTCCAAACCAGTAAAAGCGATCTTTGGAGGCAGCACCCTTTTTAGTACTTTGCTGTATTTGTTTGTGATTGTGTGACACTGAACCACAGTGCTATGTATATCCTCTGTAACACTCAGACGTTCCCAGATCAATGTTTCCCCCTCAGCTGTTTCTCACTATAGAGTCTTTCCTCAGTAACAATGAGGCCAATGAGGCACCAGCAGAGCATATCTGGCTCTCAGTCTGTGGCTGATAGTGCCCCCTGCTGTTAATAACAGGAACAGTGTAACCTTGTATGGAGCTCATAGTGATGGTCTTAAGATTGCTGCTTCAAGGCAGTAATTTGTATCCATGTGTGCTGTCTATTCTGAGCATATGCAGTTATGTGAGCTCTCAGGTTTTATGTATCAGGACATAATTTTAAAAAATCAGGTCCTTAGTAGGTCTTAATATGAGGTAAATGCAACCTCAGATGAACAACACATAACACTTTATACCAGGTCATTATTTATTTAACACACACTGAGCTGAAATTCAGATGTTTCAAAAACTAAGTACATCCAAGACTATTTCCATAATTATTTAAGAGGGTCAGTATCAGCCAAGTGCTAATCAAGTGCACTAGATCATCAGTAAGTGTAACCACTACTGTCAGTTTGCCGGTGTGGTGTATTCAGGTAAGTGGTAACATACTGAGGAGGAGAGAAGCAGTTGTTGATACCCATGAATGTGGGAAGGCTTTGAAGTCGATCATTTTGCAGCAAGAAAATTTATTCGCAAGTTAAAAAAATCAAAGACTGTTTCCAATCTTACCAGGAGTGGACATCCCAGAAAATTCACCCCAGACATCTGAGGCTCTACAGGCCACAGTTAGCATGCTAAATGTTGGAGTTCATGGCAGTGCAATTAGAAACAGACTCAACAAATATGGCCTGTTTGGAAAGACTTCCAGGAGAAACCATTTTCCCTCTAAATACAACATGGCAGCATGGATTAGGTTTGCAAAGTTGAAAAGCTAAGCCCTAATGCACAGCTTCAACATTGGTGAAAACCAAACACGGCATATCAGCAAAAACACCTCATACCAACGGTTTTGCTCGGGTGATGATTATTTGGGCTTTTTTTGCTGCCAAAGAAGCTGCAAAGTGTCCAGGTCACTGAGTGAGCCATGAAGTATTCTAGAGTCAAAGAGATCATCGTTGGGTCAGTGACTCCAGAGCGCAGCAGCAAAGCAACAACAGAGTGGTGCTGCAGTGGCTCAAAGTTGAGACTTCAACATAATTGAACGTTAAGAAAGCTGTGAATGAATAAATATCTGCAAACTTCAATGAACCGAAGAAACATTGTAAAGACAAACGGGCCAGAAATCCGTCCACACTGCTGTGAAACACTAATAAAAAATGATTACCTCAAGTTTTTGCTGCTAAAGTTGGTTC